CGTGTATAATCACTAAAGGGAGAATTGAAAGTAAGTTTCAATTCACAATCGATTTGAAATGGTTTTAATCACCCACTGCTTCGCTAAAAGGAACCTAATGGATCATACACCGTGTAAGGTGGAGATTCGTTAAAGACCTCGGGATAGTTTTGGACCTTAAGGCCCAATGGGCTTCGAACGTCAAGCTCATTGACTTAAGTTGTATGACAACTTAATGAATAATGATTCACAAAGGCCCAATTAGCCCAATAATACCCTAAGGCCGGCCATTTAGAGATGGAGTGAGTTTTGGACTTATTCACAAGTTTGCCACTCCAATGAATTAAGGTATAAATATGATTTTATAGCCAAAATTCATTTAGGGTTTTCTTTTGGGGAAAGGATGAGAACATAAGCTCTCATTTCTCTCTAAAGTGGCCGGCCTCCTTGGAGGGTTTAGCTAGCAATCCTACTACTCCAAGGTCACTCATTTCTTCTCCAATCTAACCTTGGTGAAGAGACTTAGAGGTTCTCAATGTTGGGAACTTGGAGAACCATTTCATCCATCCAAATCCATAGATCTAAGATGCAAGGAATGAAGGCCCTCTCTTTGGGTGATTAGCCTTTGCTTATGCAAAGAGGAATCTACAAAGGTATAATTTCTCAACTCACTTTGTTTTGAGTTGAGTCTTGGTTCACCCAACTACTAGGCTTTGAATTTCATGGTTAATGTTTTGTTTTTAAGTGCATACAAGCATGATTCCGCCTTTAATTTGTTAATTGCATGCTATAGATGTTGCTTAAATGAACATGTTTTTCACAAAATTTCCTTCATTAAGTTGCTTAAACTAAAAAATTTAAATGTTGTCTAATATTAAGTGAATCAACTGAAAACATCGAATTCCCCCACGTACACTGAAGAGTTATATAACTTGGCGTTCGAACCAATTCGTGTTGAATTGTACTCGGGTTGCCATGTCAACGGCGTCAATTTCTTAGCGCGTGCACGAGATGACAAGTTGTGTACGCAAAACAGTGGTGTTCATGTCCCCGAGGGAGGCGAAAGTACAGACATTGAATTATATGGTAAACTAACAAGTGTCGTGCAATTGCTTTACAAAGACCGGTGCCAAGTGATCCTATTTAAGTGTCGATGGTTTGATACAAACCCAAATATGCATGGAAGTGTGAAAAGAGATCATGGATTACTATCAGTGAACACTACCAAAACTTGGTACGGTGACGACCCTTACATCTTAGCAACCATGGCAAAACAAATTGTGTATCTAGATGATCCTAAAGCCAAGAGGGGTTGGAAAGTTGTTCAAAAGATGGATCATAGGAACGTGTATGCTATACTAGAACAAGACCGTATTGACGACGACATCGTTGCAGACCAACGTTTTGAATCTTCGATGGAAAGTGGTGCAGAAAATCTCCGATATACTAATCTTATCCAAGAACCATTTCAGATAGAATGAGTATCTTCAATCGAAATACCGATTCAATCAATAACAATTGACCTCGATAATATTCCATGATACGATGGTCCAGTGCTCACAAACGACGATGGTGACATACCTATCGATGATAAGGAATGGGACACTGAAAATGATGATAGTGACGAAAGTGAAAGTTATTATAGTTCGGATGAAGATTAAGGCAATATATTTGTAACTTTTTTTTGTAAAACACATGAAATGGTTAAAGCATTATATAGAGTCATGGAAAAAATGGTATGAATGATTCCTATTTTATATGTGAATTACTTTGTAAATAAATTTGGTATGTTTGTATTTTATAATAAATTGTAAACAAAATAAAAAAATTTAAAAAAACCATTTAAAAACATAATTGCATGACACATAACAATTTTTGGTCACGCAAGCCAGGCCTGGCAATTCCTAACATGACCTGATAACCCGACACGACAAGCAAAATATTAATTTAATAATTTTATAACCCTAAAAGAAATTATTATAATAATTATATATATTAATTTAACAATTTTATACCCCTAAAAATTATATATATATATATATATATATATATATATATATATATATATATATATTAAATTAAATTTAAAAAATTGGTGACCATTGGATCGGCTTAAATATACATACCATTCAACTTCTTCAGTGTTATACGTACAAAATAAATAAATTTAAATATACTAAACTAATGGATACCACAAAATCATATGTATACTTAATGAAAGTATAAATAAACTCGAAGTGTTAGTGAATCTATCTTTTTGATGGGATACGCATTGTACGAAACTAATTTCAACGATCCAACCATCAAAGTTGTTTGTATATGGTTCAAGATCGCATAGCCAAAAATTGCAGAAAACAAACATTCAGAGATCAAGTAACGGTACAAAACTTTTTGATGGTTAGAAACGAAAAATCACGATTTAACGGTTATTTTAACTCCGATTTTGATGATTTTTTTACAGCTACACTCTTTGACCCTATATGAATACAATGAATGAATTCGATCTTCAATTTCAATTATTTACACTAATGGATACCACAAAATCTTATGTTATACTTAATGAAAGTATAAATAAACCCTAAGTGTTAGTGAATCTATCTTTTTTATGGGATACGTATTGTACGAAACTAATTCCAACGATCCAACTATCAAACTTGTTTGTATATGGTTCTAGATCGCATATGCCAAAAATCGCAGAAAACAAACATTCAGAGATCAAGTAACGGGATAAAAATTTTCGACGGTTATAAACAAAAAATCACGATTTAACAGTTATTTTAAATTTACACGGGAATATTGCACGAAGAATACATATATTTCGTCCCACAAAGTGTATTTGCACAACGAAATATATTTATTTGTCGCGCAAGTGTCTGAAATTTCAATTAAGGCGTTTTTTTTTTCTAGGAAATTTTAAAAAACTTGCACGATGATTGTTTAGCCTCGCGAGACAAAGACTATGTCGCGCAAAATTCTATATTTTAACCCCCCCCTCCTTCTTCCCCTCACTTCCCTCTTCTTCCTTTTTCCCTGCGCGATACCCTCTTTCTTATTCCTCTGTATCTTTCTCTCTACGTACATACAAAGAAGTCTTGGTGTTTCTCAAGTTCTTGTTTTTCCTTATCCTTTCTTTCTTAGCCCAAATGCCTAGCCTTACATTACAACCATTTCAAAGACCTAACGGATTTATAAGGAAGTCTAGCTTATTTGGTGAAGGTTGATACCTATGTTCTTAGTATTCGATTTCTTTCATGAGATCTATTTTCAGAAATTGCTGTTTTTCAATGTTGATCATATGTGATTATATATTGATTCCTTTTGCATAAAATCATCACATATGCTTGTTAAGAGTGAAAGCTTAGGTTATGTGAGAAAATTGAGTGATATCTAGTGAGGCTTAGAGTCGAGGCGAATTTCTACACACGCCAAGTCTGGTTGTTTTTAAGCCCGAGTGCTTGGGATGTTGGCTACATACTTTCCATCGTGATGCATTGACTTATAAGGGCATAACTTTAGTTTTGGAAGTGTGATTGGCATGCATTGGTTTTCATTAATTGATGGAAGTGATAACTGTAACACCTTTGCTTTTCAGTAAAGCGTTTGTGGGTAGCGTAACTGGTAAACCCTTAGAAGACACGACTCCTCCGACTAGGGACACCTATGGGTTTAAAGGCTTGTTGCACATGCTCAGTGAAATTGTTTCGCCAGGGAAAGTGGGCTTAGTTAGACTTGTTTTAGTCAATTTCTTATTTTTGTTTTATGTTTTGTTAGGATGATATTCTACACATATTTTGTACCCTTTTTGTCTATTATGTAGTCATGATCATGTATTAAATTGTTGAGTTTAATGCACTTTGTGTATGTATTGTAGGAACTACAGTTTCGAAAACAAGAGATGGGATTAAACGCCTAAATACAAGAAAACTTGATGATTGCCAAGTTAGACCATGGTATTATTTTCGGCTGGAAAAATAAGAGAGTTGGACCGGTCAAAGCTTTAATTAGTTGGCCCAATGGAATGGACTTATGAAAGATAGTCCAAGGAAGCTGAGGTAGAAATAAAAGAAGAGGTGGAGGATTTTAAAGAAAGGCAGACTAGTGGAAAATATAAAAAGGAGGATTGAGAGCCGAATTGGGGTGTGCCGCAAGGAGAGAAGGTTACAAATTTTCAGGGCATACACGCACACGAATACAAAATTGGAGTTTTGGGTTTCTTTTATGTCATCGAATTCATCCATGTTTGTCATTAGTTTGATCATGAACTAAGTCCTTTTGCTAGGACTAGGGTGTACTCTTATCATGAACATATAATTCTCGTTATTTTATATTAATCTCAGTTGTTTTCCATGTTGAGTGATTGTTATTGTGCTTTGTTGTTATCAAATAACTGGCTATTATTTGTGTGAAGAACTAAATTGTGACTGACAGGTTGAGTTTAATAGATTGCTTCTCATAACAATTATCATGAATTACATAATTGAGTAGACATATTGTTTATGATTTGCGTAGTATCGTGTAATTATCCATTGCGCGTAGAGGGTTCAGTTATCTATATTTGTGGCTAGACATAACATGGGTAGATAGTTAGAAACACGGTTGGTATATTCTAACAGGAAATATTGACGAATCAAGAGATAATTGCTAGCAACATGGGAATAATTTGATGTTAATATGAATAATGGGATTAGATGGGATTGAGAATGAGGAACATGATGTGCTAGTGCTTCCATATATTAATCTTTTATACTTCATTCACTTTTACTTCGTGTTCGATCAATTGTTATTTTTACTTTCGTTTCGTTTCTTTGCATATTTGAATTTGTCAACGTAATCCTTCTTTTATTTAAGTTTAGTTTGAAGTCAATCTCAATAGTAAATTTAGGTTAATCCGATCCTTGTTTGAACGACACTTTACTTATCACTATATTACTTGGACGATATTGTACACTTGCAATTATCAACAATAGTGCATGTTCTAATCACGAGGATAAAGTGCAATATCACTTGAACGAGAAAAATACCTGAATGACAGCGGGATGATCTTGCCGTGCAAATCCATCCATCCATTTGCTAAAAGCTTGAATTTCCCGTTCTCCATTTAGATATTCCTGGTCGACTTTGCCTCTCTCTATTACATTGTTTACCTTCACTTTCATGCCTTGGTACATAATCTTGTGCCATGATTCAGAAGAACATGTAATTACTTAATTAATTAGCTCTTAATGTGGTGGGATTGATAATTTCGATTCATAAAGTTAACCCATTTACACAAACCGGAAAAGAAAAAGTATTGAAATGTGTACTCACCTGTCCTATTTTCTCTTGAATTTATAATTAAAATATAAATGACAAATCAATATAAAACATAAGACATGTAAGTGGCCATAATATACAAGAAAAGGCTAAGTAATCTTGAACTTTACATTGCCCGTGTATAACAGTGTTGGTTGTTTATATATGAAAAAGGATAGGGAACAAAGAAGGTGACAAACAAGTCGTTCCTTCCGTATTAGTTGATGCGTGTTTTATTTTCTGTATAGCTCACATAAATATATTACCCCTTCTTTTGTCTTTGTCCCTATATACCTTATACATATATATCACCCCTCGTCGCTATCCTACTGAATATATATATATATATATATATATATATATATATATATGTGTGTGTGTGTGTGTGTGTGTGTGTGTGTGTACGTAATGTGTTGGGTTTCTATAGCTTTCGAAGCACTCCCTTTAATTTAGAGAAAGTTATTCGACTCTTCTTCAAATAGTTACCTATGCTATGTTTGGATAAGTAGCTAAATGAAATTTATACAGTCCCATCCAAAGTTATCTTCCCTGACACCATATATGGTCTAGGGATGATTAAAAATTAAACATTATAGCTTAAAAGAATATTGTCATATATATATATATATATGTGTGTGTGTGTATGTATGTATGAAATGTAGCTGGACATACTTTTAGCTAATAGTTTCGGAAAATTGATATATATCACTAGAATTTTTTTACCTTTATCTTCTCAGCTTCAGGAGACCGAGAATGATCCGTTTCAAAATAAGCTTCCGGGCAGCGTCCCACTATGTTGTTGTTCCTGCAGAAAGGTAGCCAGTGGCTTGCAAATTTGGCAGCCTCCATGAAAGCAAAGAGAGTCAGAGCTGAGCCGCCATCGTCTGAAACATACACCGACACCTTCTCGGTTGGATAATCATAAGCCATGACCGATAAGGCCGTGTTCACCACGTTCATTGGTGGCTCCTTATAGGGATCAGCTGTGCATATGAACACGTCCAGAGCTGGAAAATCAGGTTCTTGAACAACCCTTTTGAGGTTTTCAGGGAATTCGGTGCGATAATTGGTTTCATGCGAACAGATTGTGTAGTGGTGTACATGAAAGCTAGAAGAGTGTCCGAGATGAGGAAGGTGAGGGTGATGAAGAAAGAGGTGAGGGTTGTGGAGTGAAGGAGGGAGAGTGTATGGCGATAGAGCAGGGCTAAGATGGCACTAAAGTGAACCACCACAAATACACGGTTCGCGGTGGTTCGACGAGAGGATTTGTGGGTGTGAAGTGGCGGAAGACCATCATGTGTTGTGGTGGACATGGTAGTGCAAGTGGAAACTCTTTGAGTTTGAGCAGGGCCGGTCTAGAGATTTTTGAGGCCCGGGACGACGCTAAAAAATATCCCTTAACTACACATAAAAAAATTATTTATTTTCACATAAAAGACATCGATAAAATTATATTTAGAAAAATATTTCAAACTCAATAATTTTGAAACACAGAAAGACTAATTTATTTTGTATCAAGAGAAGGAAACCAAAAAACTCCTGGCTTACAAGTAGATAAATGAGTTTTGTTTTCCATCTGAACTTTTAAAGTGTTTTTGTATAAATCATGAGATTTTTTTCTTATTTACTAACCTTGTCAATATGGGACTAAAAACATAATAATGTTTTCGAGTCTTTAATTGATATGTATAAGTAATGAACGGGTACTAAATTAAACCTTATGATGACACGTCATATGATTTGTAAATTTGTTCTAAAAATTTGGTCTACGCATTACTGTTTGTTGAATATTAGACTTGAATTGGAACGAATATTTAAAATAGCAACCCATATAGCTACTAGTTAGTAACTAAAAATAAATTAACAACCAAATAAAAATTAGTTAAAATTGAAAAGAATAAACACGCACATAGCATTTCTCACTTAGGACCTCTCGTTAATTTTAAACAACAAAATCATTGCTTTTAATTAAACTTCTTGAGTATTTAACCAAATTTTATAAATTTATACTCTTATGAAAAAAAAAATTGTAAAAATTGGAAAGTAAATAAGCACATGTGGTGTCTTGAACCCAAGACCTTCTCATTAATTTCAAATTACAAAACCATCACTTCTAGTTAAATTCCTTTATCATTAAACCAACCTTTTTTAAAGTTATACTCTTATAAAAACATATTTAAATATATCATCCGAATAATTTTGGTGCCCCCAATTTTTTTGGACCCTGGACGGTCGCCCTACCTGCACTGGGCCTGGGCCGGCCCTGAGTTTGAGGTTCCCTGTATTTTGGAGCTCTTCTAGGTTATAGGCATGGCATTAGGTTTATAGGGTTTCATACAAATGATTAAGGTTTTAGTCCTGGGCCCGTAAATAAAGATCTCGTTGTTTTTTTGGGAGCAGGATTCTCTTCCCTTATCTCACATTCTCTATTTTATTTTTTTTATTATAAAAACATTAATATAAGATGTTAACGTGGCTTAACCGTGATCATTCAAATAGAAAGAGAGGGAAGGTGAGGGAAAAAAGAGAGGAGATAATCCTACTCCGTTTTTTTGGTACTTGGTAAATGGTAATCCGCCAATCTCTATCTACTGTACTTGTATTATTGTTGGGATTTACTGTTGTCCAAACCAATACACATACAATAAAGCATTTCTCTATCAATCGACTAGTTCGTTCTTCCCTTAAATTAATCAATCATGAGGGCAAATCAAAACAATATTAAACGAATTATACTCAAACTTAATTAAGAAATTAGACTTAGCTCAGTGGTGAGAGTCGTTACGGTGATAGGTAAGAATACTCTAGAAATTCAGGTTTAAAATCCTTTTTGGTAAATAAAAAGGTTTATCCAAAATCTACATTGTCAGGATAAAATGTGAGCTCTTGACTTTAAATTGAAAAATTATTATATGGTCTTCGTTCTCTTATTTACATGACCCACACATGCATTTTCGTACGCAAAAATGCATGAGTCACATAGGGCTGAACCTTCAATACCATTTTCTTTGGTTAATTTAGGGTTACATCTCCTGACTTCCAGATAATATCAAATTATATATATATAAACGCCTAACTTTGTGGTTAATTCCCTTTGTGTCCTTTTTATTGTTCATTCGCCAGTGTTCTTCTGTTTTTGCCCCTTCTTTGTTTCTGTGATCATTATATACAGTGTGATTCCGTCTTTAGCCCTGTTTTAGTCTTTGGTATTTTACTTCATTTCTGGATTCTTCCTTCCCACACCGTTTCAGTCTCTCGACCCTCCTTTTCTCTGGATGCTTCCCACCGTTTCAGACTATCGACCCACTTTTTCTCTACCTGCCTCCTGCTCTCCCCATCTCCCTCCTAGCCTCATCTCCCAATCTCACAACTTATTTTCGTTTTAAACTTAAATCTCATATGAATCTCCTTGGTCTCAAAGGTCTTCTCTCCTCTAAACCCAGAAAAGCTTTAGCCTTCCGACAACACCGACAGCCACAATCTAAGCGGTTTAGCAGCTAATAGGTATGCCTAATTTCGCATTTCATTATTGTTGGGTAGAATTCAAAGGAACCCAGATGGAGAGTTTTAATTTTTATTAGAATTGCATGTTATCCAGATGAAAATTTGAATTTACGAGCTAGGGTTTTTCGATTTTTTTAATTTTGGATTTCAATTTTATTGCTTTTTCGCATATATGATAATGGTTATGATTTTTCTAGCGAATTCTGATTATTTTACTATCTGGGTTTAATGATTTTAGATGGGGATCAAGTATAATACATGTGTAGAGGTTCTTCTTTTAATTGCTATGTGTGTAACAACTTTGTTCAGTTAGCTATCTAATTGTTGATTATCAGTTAGGGTTTTGAGGATCCAAATATCAATTCTTTGTAGGTTTGATTTGTCAAGAGTTTTGTTTTTTTTAATGAAAGAATCAAAATTTACTTTGTTTTGATGCTTCCTATGTTTATTGCTTAGTTTGCAGTTATTTTTTCTTTGGTTTTCATCTACTGATTGGTTTTAGGGATCGAGGATTGGGCTAGCACTCTTCACCATAGGTAGTTTTTAACTTTTTATATGTTTAAGTTTTTTTAATATAAATTTTGAGTGATGTTTCATTCTTAAGCCGTGGTTTTCTTTGCTTTGCAGTTTCAAGTTTCTATTTGCACAAAGAACTTTCAGACAGGGTATAACTTCTTCAGGTGTGTGCTTATATTTCTCAAATTTAGATTTCTCAAATCGCTATTGTTTATTAGATTTTCTTTCGATCTGATTCCAATTGAGTTCGATTTCGAACTTAAATTTATATTCGATTTTGATTTACATATGTCCTAATTTCTTTGAAGAAATTTAGAGATGAAGGTATTCAAGTTGGAGACTTTGAGTTCAGATTTCTTCAAATTCAATAGACTCATTTGTTGCCCCTCTCTCTCTTCTCTTTGTCTCTCTTAATCTCAATACTATTTCTCTCTTAAATTCAATATTATTTATTAGTTGAAGTTGACGCATCTTTTGTACCTCTCGAATGTTGAGGTTCAGATTAATTCTGGAAGGATTCCAATCTGGCAAAAGTCTAAACAACCTTTTATATTTTGGCAGCAAGATCCCTTTGCTTATCAGCATTGTCAAACATGTTTATGATCCTTTCATTTATGTCTTAGACATATTTCTATACAATGAGTCTGTCTGCGGTTGATGAGCCAAATAAAAAAATTAGTACTAGAGTGTGACATAGTTGTATTAATGGATCCCTAATTCTAATAAATTAAAGATTCTCAACCCTAATATGATTTAGGTGCTGTTTCAGATTTTGTGTTTCTCATTTTGGAAGTGATTAATATGTGCTCTGTAATTTTAAAAGTGATTAATAGGTGCTCTGTAAAGGTTCGTCTTATACATCTCTAAATGTAACCCATCTACTCCTTCCAGACCTCCTTAACTTAGAACTTTCCTGTTAGGTAAGTCAATTTCCCAAGGAAACATTTGATGCCTCTGGAGTTAGGTTGGTTCTCTTTTCCAAGCTTCAAATTTTAGTAATCATATCAAAAAATTGAGTTGGTTTTAAATAACTATAGTTATGCTTTTTGCATTCTACTATGCGTACATACATACATATAGAGAAGTTTTGAAAACCAAAAACGAACCAACATAACTGAAAAGGCCTGATCCAATTAATTTCAAATATCCCAAGAATCCACATATCATTGCAAAACCAAATTCATCACTTTTCAAAAAAGCATGGCAAGGGGAGTTTTTAGGATTATCATCTTAATATAGGCCAATGAGATTTGAAGTTGGAATAATTTTGTGGATACACATAATATCTTGATTCCTATTGGTTCTTCATTATGACCTGTGAGACATATATGCTTTAGAAATTTTAAATTTCCTGTTTTATTTTATCTTTGTTACATCAAGATTTTTTTGTTGGATTTGATGGTTAAGGTGAATTGAGTAATTAATCTATAATATGTCTTTTGATTTAATGGTTGTGAAAATATGATGATGTGGTGGTTATTATGATGGAAATGCATGTTAAAAAATTATGAATTTAACATGATTGAATTCCAACTTTCTTAAATTGATGGAATTATATACTCTTAATGTCAAACTTTCTTAACATCAGGTGATCAGTATGAATGGATTTGATATGGGAAGGTTAGCCTCTAAACTAAATCCCATTCCCAAGTGATGTTATGTGACAGAATTTATACCGCACTATGTCTTTAAAGGAAATGTTCATTAATTTATACTCATAGCTGCTGTAATTACATGTTAGTTTTATACTCTCTTTTTTTAAGAACTATGCATAGTAGTTGTTAAATATTATGACATTTGAAAATTCTTAATTCTATGATTGGGATATGATTATTGTGCATTCACTTTATTTAATTACAATTTACAAGTGATGGAAAATTTAAAATTAATTTATGCCACAATTGTTAGGCACTATGTTTCACTAAAATTCAAGATGAAGGTGAAGGCGATATCTGTATCCTTCTACACATGCATTTTGGAAAGTTTGATGATTCGCCTATATTTCGCCAATTGGTATGTTCATTCTAAATTTTTATATTTATTATCGTTATCATATGTTAACATTATGCCATAAAAAGCTGAAATCAACTTTTTTGTTTTGCTAGCTGATCTTATTGTCACATGTTATAATTTCACATTTTTTTTCCTCAATTTACAAATTATGGTTTACCATGGTGTGACTTTTTTTTTTATTTAGTTTTTCCCCGGTGCGGTTGATTTTCTTTTTAAATAAACGCATTTAGTGAAACATTTTTGGCATAATATAGATCAATGGAGGAACAAACCTGACCATTTATCAAGATAGA